TCACCAACAATTATGGGTTCCAAAGCCTGGACATAGTATTTGCACTGTGAAATGCATATTATTGCCTGTTATGCATTTCTCCTAAAAAATAAAACAACATAACTCCTTTAATACAAAAGCAATTAAAATTGTATAAAAATAGTACAAATGGAAAACATACCAATAGTATGAATGAAAACAATTATCTGTCTTTTCCTGTACCAGGGTTGGGAATCATTTTTAGATGTTTCTAAGCTGCAACTCCCAAAGTTATTCACTGTTTATAAAGACTGGAGGTAGTACGAATCACAGATGTTCAGCAGTGTTTTCCAGAAAGAGAAATTTGGTTTGTTTTCAGGTCTTACTGTATCCCTCGGTACAGTAGTAGCTCATAGGGACTTTACAAAACCATTTGAAGAGAGAGGTCTGGTAGAAGGGTTGTTGGCCTGCACTGCATATTCAGGAGTCTATGACAATTTACCATGGCCAACTCACTGCAGGACAACTCACCATGGCCAACTCGTCACAGGACAAGAGTTACATCAATATCAAAGAAATAGTGGAATACAATAATTAAGGAAGGATGCAAAAAGGAGGGACAGAATAAAATATGAATGACAAAACTTTAAATCTTTTTTTTATTTTGAATAATTAAATTGAAGTGTTAAATTGTCCCATGGTGAGTTGTCCCACAGTGAGTTAGCCATGGCAAGTTATCCTGCAGCAAAGTGGCTATGGTGAGTTGGCCACGATAAGTTTGCCATGGCGAGTTGACCATGGTGAGTTGAATGTGGCTGCAGCAAGTAGGCTGTGGCAAGTTGCTCTATTCCATATAGGAAGGACTCTTCAAGATGTGGTGCTGAGCCTTCAAGAGGATTGGGATACTTTAAGCAACAGTCAGATATTTTATCTGGCAGCTCTCATTTTGCATAGTTCTGGCAAATTATTTCTGTATGAAAAGCTGAATACACTCTTTAGACAAATATGTGATGGTTAGCATTTAGAACTACTTTTACTTTTAAATATGATGTATATGGTTTTAAATGGATACTTCACTTCTCCCTGCTAAAGTATTCGGAGAATCAACAAAATTAGGCATACCTTGTCAAAATTAATATCACCTTGGAGAAAAAAAAAGATGCACACCTTTCTTTTGACCCTTTTCTACAAAAATGAATGTAGGCAAACATGCTGAGTAACACCGAGAACATATTTCCTCCAGCATTCTTTTTCATAATGATCAAGCAGAAAGCTTTAGGAAACTAATAAGTAGGATTGAAAGGCAATAATCTTATTTCCCAGCAACTATAATTCAGAAGCATATTAATTCTAGAAGTTGGATGTAATTATAATGACTTGGGATTATTTGATAATACTTTTAATAATATTGTTGATAATATTTGATACTTTTATTTTACAATAGCATTCTGTCATTTTCCAATAACTGTAAATCAGAAGTCCATTATTTCTAGAGGATGGATATAACCATCATGATTTAGGACTATTCGACCATGCTTTTGTCCATTAATCTGAAGTCTTACACGCTTGTTAAAATTATATTTATTTGGCCATCCCTTCAAATTCTATATCCACTCTTTACTATATACAGTAGAATCATTGAGAGAAATTCTGGATCTTTTGCAATTTCTAATCTTGGCTATCATTCTTTGATTCTTTTCACTGCTACAGTACAAAAGTTGAACAATTTTTAAAAACCGAAGGATCAGTTAGTTGCAAAATCTTTTTGGCTTAAATAAATGCTTGGGGACCTTATTGCTATGGTAGTATATTACTATACTTACCCCTTAGTCAAAAATGTTTCAGTTTGCTTGTCTGGCATACCAAATTGCTAAAATGTGCAGACTATTAGAACCATGGGGCAAGAGGACCTGCTCGTACTTACATACTAAGAAATAAAGTTCATGTAAAATGAATTTTGTTTGATTTCTGAAATCTTCGCTTTAGGATATGGTTTGGAAATTGGAAATTTCTTCCTATATTGTTATTTTTCACATATTTGTGATAACTGATTAGGGTTGCTTCTAATTAAAATGGCATTAGTGTTTCACATTTCTTTCTCCTGGGGTTACTATTGATTAAAAAAATCTGGACAATCACTAGATAATTACTGTATAGTACAGAAAAATAATCTCTACTGACCTTATTTGCCTAGTTTTTTGCTGCCAAGTTTTGGTTGACACCTAGTTGCAGTAACAAGTTGGCAGAAGCAGGGGGTTGAAACGTAAGGAATTTAATAAGCTGACAACCTCTTAACAAGTTTTGCATTAAGTCACAATAAATGTCTTAAAGAGTTGATAAAAGATATAGCTTTGATGTTGCCACCTCCACTAAGCACACGATTTAAAAACATAAAATACCATATTTCATTTGAAGCACTTACATTTAATAAAGACAAATAATACAGCAGGATGCAAATTGAAGCTTGTTTCTATGTGAGGGCGCTGATGGTACAGCTTACCCTCCTTTCTCCAAATAGTCAAATCTCTATCACAACATTCCTCCTTCTAGAATCAAGTTTTTAAGTTTTTCATTGATACTACCGCAACATGCTTACATAAAGGATGGAATTTCAATAGGACCCAGCAGATGGCAGCATGTAACTATTCTAGGGAGATGGGCGGTTCAAAAAATGTGAAAAATAAATACGGTAATATTTGAATGACGTTCAGAGTTCGAAGTTCAGAACTGGAGGTGAAACTAGAATCCCCAAAACTGGAGCTTCTTGGAAAACCACTTCCGTATGTTGCAAAGAAAAGTGCACAGCCCATGCAGCCCATGTCAGTAAATCAGGAGTTAAGGCTCGACTCGAAGACTTCATTAGTATTGTTAACGGGCATGTATTTCAACGCAGTCGCTGGCAAGGAGAAAATACCTTTTAACCTCGTCCAAAGCTTTTATAGCCAATTAGACTGGTTTTGAATGAAAGCTATTTTTGTTCCGTTGGAAAAGTATGGCTCAATTTCGAACCGTGCGTAAGGGAATAGATTGCCACGTCTCTCAAGCTTTCTATTTTTCCACTACGGTTGTAACACCACTCATCTCAACGCTAAAGTGTTTGAAACTCGGCAATTAGCAAGCCAATTTAACAAATTAGCAGGCAGAACTTTTATATTGATAAGGAAGGAAGCCCGATCCGGAATCCTCTCCCTGTCTGCGAGGTGAGCTCCTGCATTGCTTTCCACCCGAGAACACGGATGGTTTACGCATTCGAGTCCCTGGCAGGAATTAAAACTAATGAGACAAAGTTATCCGTTTTTGCTACAATACTCAGGGGGAAAAAAAACACCCCACCAACAAATCAACGGTTAAAAAATTGGCAATACGGTAAATCTGTGTTTAAACGGATTAAAGGAAAAGCGGCCAAGAAAATCATGCAGTTTACGAAGTTTAGCATTATAATCTGGATGCGGAAATCCAGAAGTGAAAGCCGGACTTGGTCTGACTTGTATTTGGTTGGGAGGCGGGTTAGACTCGCAGGGGTCTCCAATCTTGGCAACTTTAAGACTTGTGGACTTCAACTCCCAGAATTCTGGGAATTGAACTCCACAAATCTTAAAAGTTGTCAGGGTTGGAGACCCCCGGGTTAGAGTGCAAACGAAAGGGCAAGACGCTTCGCCGCGGCTTCTGCGCATGACGGGAAATGCAGCAGCTTGCCAAGAACAGCGGGCTCCGCTTTCCTTTTCCGGAAACTTTCCGAAACCCCGGAACCTGGATAGAAGACAACGAACAGTCGACGAAGGCGGCCTTTAGAAGGTGGCATACAGGCTGCGGGGCCAGAAGATGTAGCGAGGCCCGGTGCATGGCGGTCAGGCGGCGGACTCGGCCCTCCACAGGTCGGTGCCGATAGGGAGGCGGGGATGAGGAAAGATGCGCAGCCCGAGTTCTTGGGGAGGGGTAGCGGCGGTGGATTTCTTTCCCCCTTCTCCTCCGCCGACACTTTTTTTGAATTTGTTCTTCTTTTTGCATGTTGGAAGAGAAAGAGGAGAGATCCTCCAAGCCTCCTCTTTAAGGAGCGGGTGTTTTGCGCTGCGCGACCTTTCACTTTGCGATCCTTCCTTGGTTGTTTCCCCCCGCCCCCTTGCGTTTCAAAGCCCTGCCGAGTCCGGCTTCCAGAGCTTGTAATCGGCCTGCACAAACCAGAGTGGACTTGTCTTGAGTGGGAGGGGAAGGGAGCTGCATCTGTTGTGATTTTGCCTGCGGGAATGGTGTCGGGGGCTGCCAAGGGTTGCCAGTTTTTGTCTGGTCGGTCAGTGCCGCCTTAGCCCATCACCTCAAGCAGAAATGCAGTGGCGCCAGCAGAGGAAAGCTTTTGGTAGAAACGGTCTGATAGCAACACTTAAAGAATGCACCTTATATGTTTCTCGGCTCAAATACTAAATCTGGGTTCGCAGAACATGCAAGACAAAATACGGCTGACTTGTTCATTGTGTGAACAAGCTGTTGGTGGCAGTAGTGTGGTTTCCAACTTAATTTGTGAATCCAATCAACCATGGTTAAGGAATGCATGACTTAGTTTCAGGGCTTCCCAAATATTTTTCCTTCCTTACCCAAAATCACTTATCAGAAAGCCAATGTCAGTAAAATAAGTTCCTGTTGTGATTGGGTAGTGACACACAAACTCATTGACCAAAGAAAAACCACTTTTACTCAATTTTGGATAATTTACACTGATTTGGGAAGCATTGGTTTAAGTTGTGTGTACACATCACCAAACTCCTCAACCTTGGTTCAGGTTCTCATGGCTACTTTTGATAACATACTTCAAGCTATTCTACCGTATTAGCCACAGGATGGTGTGTTCCAAATTCCTGCTAATTATTCAGAAATTTCCTTTACATAAATAGTTCTCTCCAGATCCATCTGGTTCCATTTTTTTTCTCTTACAGGGCTTACTTTAAAAATGAAAATTTAGATTATTTCTAATACATGCTTTTGATTTTTATTGTATTTTTAAATTAGAAAATAAAAGATGAAACAATGTATTTTAAAAGGTTTAGTTATTCAAACAGAACATGAGAAAAAAGATTTGATTCCTACATTTGAGAACTCACTTTTGTATGTAAAAACGAGAAGGATGGCACTTCAGTGATAGATCATATACTTTGAGAGCAGAATTCCTGCCAACTTTGGATAAAACATAGGCAATAGTGAGCTAGATGATTATTGGACAAAATGTAACATATTTGCTAAAATTACAATGTTATTCTTCTTTTTTTCCCCAAGAAAACCTGCTTTCCACAATGCTAGGAAAATTGCGGAATATGAAAGCTCAACATATAATGCAGGTTTCTTCTAAAAATGGCACCGTTTATATGCTTTGGTTTGCCAATCTATTACTTGAAGCTAAGTGCTTCAAATAATTCGTTCAAAGATATTTGAATCCCCAGACTTCTTACAGAATATCAGTTACCCTTCATTTCAGTCGTAATAGAATTCATCTATGAGCTTATTCTTCTGTGTAAGTCCAGAGTTTTAGTTCTCTAATTTTATGAAATGTTTGGCATATTTACCCCAATAACTCTTCATCAGTTGATAGAATTAGGGACTGACAACACTAATTGTTCTTCTTTTACTTGCGCAGTACCTCTTCTTATATGTTTATTATTTCATTGCTGTGCTCATTAAATTATTCTTCCTCTGTGCAGTGCTGTGTAATTGTTTAAATTTAACTGTTGCATGAAGAAGATTCATTTTTTGCACCTCCATTTCAGTTGACAGAGTTGGAAAAATCCTTGCTGAAAACCTGGGCAGCTATCACCTCACAGGGTGCTTGTTGTGGAGAAAATAAGAGGAAGTAGTATTAGGTATGTTCATCATCTTGAGTTATTAATAAAGTAATAAAGATGAGATAAGAATCTGATAAATATAATCAGAAGTTAAAACCCGAAAAGTTGGGCCCAAATTTTCTGATTCTAAAACTTTCTATCTCTACCTCATCCCATTATTTTACAAAAAAAGGTTCAGTTGTATGTTTGAAGAAGATAATACCATGCCATTTCTATTTGGGAATCCTGGGACTGGCAATAATTCTCTATCATTTTTATAAATATTTATTCCCGCCATTGTGTTATTAAATGTAATGAAAGGCAGTCACAAACCTTATTTTGAAACTATAAGGGAAAAAAATCTGTTTACATCACTGGAATAGGTTGTGAAGAGGGGTGCTTGAAGAACTTGATATGTTTACTTTGGAGAAAACAAGACTAAATGGAAATAAATATGAAAGTACTTTCCATATTCCTGGAGTAATATCATGTGCAAAAAAAGTGTTGCTATCTCAGAAAACAAAGTAAAAGTATTAAGTAACAGGTGGATTCCCAGTGTAGTTTGCCAGTAGAACCAACTATCAATGGAAATTGTAAAATCTTTGCTGGATGTGTTTAATAGAGGCCAGATAGCCATTACCTAAGGATTTTTCAGTTTAGGTTGTTGGCCTAATTGTCTTTTTACAATTTTACCTTTCTATGCCAAAGACATTTTCTATAAAAATTATTCAGACCCTGAATTTTTGTCTCTGCAGGTTTAAAAAGAAGTACATGTAGTCCTTGACTTACAACAGTTCATTTAGTGACTGTTCAAAGTTACAACGGCACTGAAAAAAATGGGTTATGCCCGTTTTCACACATACAACCATTACAGCATAACCATGGTCACATGATCAAAATTCAGATGCTTGGCAGGTTGTTCATATTAATGATAGTTGCAGTGTGCCAGGGTCATGTGAGCACCTTTTGTGTCCTGACAAAATCAATGGGGAAACCAGATTCACTTAACAACCATGTTACTAATTTAATAAATGCAATAATTCACTTAACAACTGTGGCAAGAAAAGTCATTAAATTCATATAAAAATAAAATTATAAAAGTCATATAACTCACCAAATATTTCAGTTAGCAACATATACAGTATTTTGCATTCAATTGTCATAACTTGAAGACTATCCGTAAAGCATAGGCTTAGGACAAGCTATCTTTATGCTTGGGTTGCTTAATATTCATCTTGGTGATCTGTGAAAGTTCTTTACTTGTTATAAAGCATGAAATCCCTGATTGGCCATCTAAGGTAAGGTATCTTTACTTTTCTCATCTTGATTTTGTTCAAATATCATGGTTGTATCTCAGGGGAATCTGCCTAACAGAAAGGATTTTTGTTCCAGTTATGTATACATTTATTTTAATTTACTTTTTAAATCCCTTCTTACCACTAAAAGTTATATACATTATATACAGTACTTATTATTCTAGTAAGAATAGCTCTGTGCAATAAAAGAAGACTCATTTCTCCAGTCTCTTAATGTTGGCTGCCAGTACTTCTGAGGAATACAACAGTGGGCTAAAAGACAACAAGTTTTTGTTTGTTTGTTGTTGCATAGCCAAGGTGCATTGCTATTTCCATTTGGCTGGTCTTGTTAATCCTTTCTAATGACTTTTGCCCAAGTTTATATTTATGCTTAACAGTCAATGGGAACAAGACATGTGCACACAAATATGGATATCTTTTCATTTTTATTATAGCTGTGTCAGTGGGAACTACTTTCAGTGTTGAATACATGACTAAGGAGCTGCAACCAGAACAAAATGGAGGGCTTGAGTCTACAGGCGATGACCCTTTCTGATGGGACAACAGCCTATGTTCAGCACGATGCAGGTGGTGAGTCAGTTGAAGGCTGTGGCAGCTGTGGTCAGCCACTGGGAGACAGCAGAAACCCTAGGATCAAAGCATTACACACAAGGGAGAATGAAAGGCAATGTAACATGGATAAACATTTCATTAAATATATGTGCTTTGTGTGTATTAAATTTTAATAGTACATGTAGTCCTCCACCTTCAAACTTAATGGAGCCTGCCTATTATAGTCCTAAGTAGTGAGGGCCATTAAGCGAGACAGTCTCTTTTAACCTCCACTTCTCCTCTCCCTGATGCACTAGCCAAATAAGCACACAGGTCATTAAGTGAAGCACAGGGTGCCCCAAGACTGGGGGGAGGCCTAACACATTCCCAGGAGTACCAGGCCAAGGCCTCTCTCACCTCATGTGTCCCAGTTCCTCTCAGTAGGATTCCCCACAGCCCTTGGGTCTGCTTCCTCTCCCTGGGTCCCTGCAGGGCTTGGGCTCTTTCCCCATCCCCTAATAAATAAGAAATTTCCTAACATGCTTTTCAATCTACCAAGGAAAAAATTAATTTCATTCCTGTGTTTAAACTGTTATGAGTTGTAATAACTGATTGCAAATGTATCTGTCACAAGAGTACATTTTTCTATATTTTAACTGGTATTAGGGTCTTCTATGCCTACTTCCTTATATGGAAAATATATTTATTGATAAAGATAAATGCAGAAAACAAGAATTTACTAATGCTGCCTCTGAATTTAGTATCATGGATCCCATATGTAAAGTTGATAATATGTTTCAGAAGAAATAATTCTAACATGTAGCATATAAGATTCCAGTTCATGTTCCTTAATGGCAATGTTTTAATGGCTATGTAGCTAAAAATTTTAATCTTGCTTCCTAGAAAATTGACAACTGTTTCAAAATTCTTATTTCAGAAGAGAAATTAGTTGATGGACAAATGATTGAACTTGAAGATGGATCCACAGCTTTTTTCCAACAAGTAACTCTGCAGAAAGGTGAAGTAAAATTGCGGATCTTGTGGTACCTTTAAAGCAATATGAGGAACTTGTGGCCTTCCTAAAGTTGTTATTCTAGGATTGCTGGAAATTGTAATTCAGCATCCTCAGGAGTTCCATAGCACCTTTTTAAACGCTAGCAGAACCAATACCGGAAGTTTTCAAAATGATCAAATTTGAGGAAGTTTGGAAATTAAGATGTGCAGCACCTCTAGAATACAGCACAGTAAAAGTAGCGTAATTGCTTAACTACTACCACCACCATCAGTATCGGAATTCCGTACAGGTGGTTTTGTCACACTGATTTATTGTATTAGAAGATCTTATGTTATCTTTTTAGAAGTTGGTATTTAAATAAAATAAAAGCTAGCAGGCTACAAGGAAAACACCAGTGTTTATTTCTAAGAAATAAACGTTAATATTAAAGGCATTCTTAGGAGATGGAAGTGGTGAATTTGTACAATTGTGTATGCATATGCTTAGAAAAAAAGACAATGATGAGCAAACACATGGGGAGTAACTTAGGGACCTCATAGGAATGCTGGTGAGGAGGTTCATCAGTTTATGTTTTAGCTGGCTAACCATACTCTCTATGGCAACCATTTGATGAAAATACTATTAGTTTCAAAATTCTAGATCAGTCTCCTAGCTAAAGTAGCAGGAGATACCAGTTATGCTATTTGCATATCTACCTACCTACCTACCTATCTTTCATGTTTCTATACTGTTCATCTCCCTCAAGGAGGGGCTCTGGGAGGTGTATCTTCACATATGTATCTTCAAATAGGCATCTAATGCTGTAGAGGTATACAGGTAATCTTCAGTTAATGATTGAAATTGGGGATTGTAACTTTCAACAGTCGCTGAATGAGTGGTTGTTAAATAAGAAATACTTATATGGTGTAGGCATTAAAAAGTAATGCGCTTGTAATTGCCAGGGTGTGGATCTAGTATAAAAATCACCTGGAAAAGTGGCTTTTGATTACAAACTGAAATATTTTTTGAATGCCCTCTATGCACTAAAAAGAACAAACAATGCCTTGCAATTGCTGGTGCTTTTGTTTCTACATCTAAACAAATTTAGAGTCAGAGAAAGAGAAGAATGATTTTTACTTAATTCATTTAATTCAGAGTTAGATTGACTGTAACTATGTTGCACTTCTGCATTCATATTATTATTAAAATATATTTTTAATATATCTGGGGCTGAATTGACTAAGAGGCTATTCTTCAAAACAAAAGAAGTGAACAGTGATGGGGATTCTTATTCTTGTTAAGTTTTGCTTGTGGTTTGAGATCACGTGTGTGTCTATATTCTGATTCATTCCATAGAATCTATCACATTTGAAGATGGTCAGCCTGTTACACTGGAAGACGGCACCATGGCTTTTATACATCACACTCCCAAAGGTAGCTCTCACTCTAGTTTTCAATAAATTATCCATAAAAAGCCTCTAAGCCACAGGTGTCAAACTTGCCACGTTACATTGCCATCACATGATGTTTCACAACATTTTCCCCATTCGCAGAGCTAGGGTGGGTGTCGCCTGTGTGTGATGCATCTGGCCCGTGAGCTGCCAGTTTGATACTCCTACTCAAAGCAGGTGGATTAAAGGTGTTATTGTCTGTGGCTTTTTCTAAAAAAAAAAAAAAAGCACATTCCTGGATAAAACATTTATTTGCGTTGGTTACTTTTACTCTAGATTAGGGATCTAGAGTACCCAAACCCAATCGCATCGCGGGCTGTATCGTGATATATTGGGATATTTTTTTGCCTTTGTGGATCCTGGGTGGGCGTGGCCTATGCGGGCCATATCCGGCCCATAGGTCACGAGTTTGATAGGCTTGTTCTAGATTTTTTAGGTAGCCTACATTGGTAGTAAGATGTCTTATCTTGTATTGCACTCCCTTCTTCTCAGAATTTTTTTCTTCATCAATGAAAAACCACATTTTAGTGGGTAAGATATAAGTAAACCATGATTTGAATTAACCAGGAAATTCAGAGATGGAAAGGAGCAGGCATGGCCTCTTTATTTGTTTCTGATCTGTGGTTTGGAAGATTGGGAATTTGGCTGTGTCATTTTTTCTAATCCATTCTTTACAGCCATAAATGATAAACTACTTATCTATTGAAAATAAACTGATACTATTTTTCAGGTGCTTCTCAATCAATTAATGAACGGATAGAATAGTTCCAGATAGTCTGCTCCATAAAAGCAACATGATCTTTCAATTCTATCCATTTTTGATTGTGAATTGCAAGATCTTTTGATATGTAACATTTGAGTTCTAAAGTATAGTTGGATTTTACTATTGATGGCCTTAACCCTTAGAGTTTTATTAGCTGTAACTGATCAAGGGACAAATGCGTAGTGATTACAGCTGACACGTGGTACTACAGTGTTTGTGGTCCACTTCAGAGGGTTTTGACCCCAACACCTTGGAGGCCATCCAGCTGGAAGATGGATCCACAGCTTTCATACACCGTCCTGTTCCCACGACAATGGATGGCACCATCCTGGCAGTGCAAGCAGATGTGGGGCTGGAGGAATTGGCAGAGAAGAAAGATGACCCTTTTGATTTAGACACCGATACCACTCTGAAGGATTACACCAGCAAGGTGAGAATATTCTGCTTTTCTATGAAGATTCTAAAACATAACATGATTCAGAGAATTGCATTTTTTAGGTGTATGGTCTACAAAAAAACCTGTTGAGCTCTGCATGTGAGCTGTAAGGATAAACCCTGCCATCTTAAGTCAGGACTTCAATAGCTAATTAGAACAATATGTATTTGTACTGAAGAGAACTTTGTGCATGTATCTGTATATATTGACTGCTTTGCTGACTTGTACAATTGGATGCTCAAGTGCCAGTTCAGCACCTATGATATCATAGGTGCCATTTGGATGGGAAAGACTTATCTCATCTGCTACTGCTATGAATTCAATGTTTTGTTGTGAAATCAGAAAGAGATATGCAAAAACTTTAAATATGAAATGAAATGGCACAGGTACAATAGCCTAGTGAAGACATGTAATAAACAAAGAAACTACTTGGATATTTTGTAAATATCAATACATCACACTTTTTTTTTCTTTTAATCATTCAGATTACATAAATATAAGGGATTGTGCTTGAAACAACTATGTATTAGAGCTGTGAGAGACAGTATATTGTTTACATTGTTTTATATTTTAGTTTGGTTTTGAATATGGTTATTCATCTTCAGTCTTCAAACTTTACAGTAGAGTGAAAACATATAATTCTCCTTCTCTTTTTTCAAATATTTTTTTTTTTAATTTGCTTTATTCTGGTATTTGAGACAACAATTCAGAAAGCTGCCTTCTTATATCTGGGAAGCAGCTGAACTCTAATATTAGATACAATTAAATGAAATACCTGTTGGCATTGTTTTAGAGTACTGGACAGCTTATTTATTGTCCATATTGACTTGCAATTCAATGGATATTATTTATCTTTCCAAAGCATACTGTCAGTGTGTAGCTGCACACAGGTCTTGGCACTTGGCATTTGATTTTTTTTCTCAACCAGAGGCTATCCTTCAATCTTTTAGGTCCATTTAGGAGACTGCCTAGAGAGTACTCCCATAATTAGAGGAAAAATGAGGATTTATTTAAAAAACTTTTAACTCAACATTACTGAATATATCTAAGTTAGTTCCTCTCCCCCAAACTTTACATTTGTAAGTGGCATCATTTATAACCAGATTGCCTATTATTATTTTGCTTTTATGCTTTTTAAAATTATCTTTAATTTTTCTATTCACTGTTTTTAAGTAATGTTGAATTTATTGTGATGATTTCATTTAATTTTTCATATCTCCTTTTGAAATACTGGATTTATGTGAGAGACAAATGGAATAAAAGTCTAATAAAATTGAAGGAAATCTTTCTGAAAATGGAAATCCATTTACTTCCTGATGTTGGAACATGTTGAAAGCAATAACAGCTTAGTATTATGACATATGGTTTGCCTGTTAACATTGCAAAATATGTAGTGTATAATATTGTTTTCCAGGGTTTTCCAGCCTGACCAACTTCTAGTTGTATGGAATTCAATTCCAGCGTTGCTTAGCCAGAACAGCTTTTCTTGAAAATTCACCAAGTTGAAGCCTCCCAATATGGAAACTCCCCAGGATACATGGTTATAGAATGCAAGATGATTGTGTCCTATAGATCAGGGGTCTCCAACCTTGGCAACTTTAAGCCTGGAGGACTTCAAGTCCCAGAATTCTGGGAGTTGAAGTCCTCCAGGCTTAAAGTTGCCAAGGTTGGAGACCCCTGCTGTAGATGGTAGAAATTGTTGTGTCACTGATTTTAGATAGGTGAGTTATTACTGATGTGGGTTGGGAACTAAGCCCAAGGACTCCATAAGACGGCCTAATAAATTGATGAGACCGGCAAATTACCAGACACAGACTTTGCAGCAGGCAGTTTAATTTTTTAATCATTGTGTGACATTTTCAGGCTCTCTGGCTCAAATTCAACTCCCTAACATGCCTAGATAAGAACCATTATCATATACAGGTAGTCCTCAACTTAGAACAGTCCGTTTAATGAGCGTTCAAAGTTACAGAGCGCTGAAAAATGTGACTTATGACCTTTTTTCACAGTTATGATCTTTGTGGCATCGCCATGATCAGGTGATCAAAACTCAGATGCTTGGCAACTGGTTGCTTGACAATTGCTGTGTCCTAAGTTCATGTGATCACCGTTTTCGACCTGACAAGCAAATGAGGAAGCCAGATTCACTTAACAACCAGGTTACCAACTTATCAAACGCAGTGATTCACTTAACAATTGTGGAAAGAAAGGTCGTAAATTGAGGCAAAACTCACAACAAATATCTCATTTAACGACAAAAATTTTGGGTTCAGTTGTGATTGTAAGTCAAGGACTACCTGTGCACGACATACACTTTATTTATATATGTTATCCCTTTATTTAAACCTACACTTTTTTTTAAGCTACACTTGCCTGCATTCTATTTATTCAATTTCTTTAGCCACCGAACTCAAACAAATAACTCTTTACTAACTCCATTCCAGAAGATCAGAAAACAACCTTCATTCAAAACTGCTATCTCCTTCTCCCTTTTCTTACTTTTACAGAAATGTGACAGAACTCTTTTTCTTCTTTTTGCGTTCATGAATTTATGCTCTATACCATTTGCTCCTCTGGTGTTTTAAGTTATGGTTTTTCATCTGCTCTGGCCATCACCAGATTGGCTCATAGATATTGATTAGGAATTTACAGTTATTCAGATCTAAAGCATTAAATGTATTTTGGACAGAACATGGGCATGTTAGCTATACCATTAATGTCTCCTTAGAAAAGGGTCTTATGGCAGTCATAAAGTCCCTCACACATTTGAGTTAAAGAGCCGTAGTATCTCAACACAACCTGCTTAATGTCAGCTTCTTAACAATAACTACTCATATCATCATGGCTTTGACAGGCAGTCATTTCGCAATATTTTTAGCAAAATAGAGGAGAAGTGCATTAGCTTACTGACCTTGGTCATACCATGCCCATGCCACATGCAATTTCCTGCCAGTGGAAAGAGTATTTCCATTTTTAGTATCTTTATGCAGTGTGCCAGCAATACAAAGCTCAATTTGATCAAAAGCATTTTCATTCTATATTATATATTTTGTTCCATATAATTCACCCTTACTACTCTATTCAGAATGGCAAACACAACACAATCTATTGTGTTTGAAAAAAAATCACATGATAAATAATCAAGACTGAGTTGAAGAACATCCCAACCTGTATATCTTATCCTTCAGAAAATGTATGACTCATCAAAAGTCAGACAGTGAACAACATTTGGGTCAGCCTTATGCATCATCCACAACATATTTCTTTTATCTTAATTTTGATTATCAGCCTGATTAGAAAATTGTGTACAGTACACCAGTTACCTGATTGTTGAGCAAGAATTCTAGGAACTATATTCCCCAAAGACCCAAAGAGTATTAATGAATATTGTGCACAACAATATTATAATGGATATTATTGAATATTATACGTAAAATGCATTAATATTAAACTATAAGTGCAGTTTACTTTAAGGAAATCTACAAAATTACTCACTTTGACTTGACATGATGTGCAGACCAAGTCCTACAGCTTGTACAACAAACTATAGTTTAAAATCTTGGTTTACAGTTATGTGTGAATGTAGCTTCCCACTTATAAAACAGCATATAGAAAGACCTACCTTAAGGCAACAATGGAAGATAACTTTGTATACTTCAATAACTTTGTATATATTCGCATAAGAATAAAAAATAAGTATGAAATTCATTTACTGAAAACTTTTCTTCTTGCCTTTCTACAAAAATGGTTTAACATAAAATTTTAAAATCCAGGCTTACCTAGACACTGCAGGCATCATTCAGGTTTTGATTTTTTTCTTTTCTTTCCTAGGAAGACTTCCAGAAAGAAGAAATGCAGAGCACTGGAAATGGACCAAGAACTCCTGATAAAGCTTATTGTTGTAGATACAGTGGGTGTAGCCGCCTCTTTACCACATCCCACCATTTGAAGGTAATCGCACTTTGCTTCCCCACAATTCACCCTAAATACATTATGGCACTACGAGAGAAACTTATCTAATGAACGTCATCACCAGTGGGACACGTAAGCCTACACTTTTATCTGATAATGTTGAGGGGAGAGACAGGAAACAAGTGGTTGAAGAAGCTATAATCTTTTGTTGAAGGCTTGCTCTTAGTTTTCTTAGTAGAATACATTTGATATAAAGCATTAGTAGGATTACAAGTTATTCTTCCACTTTCTACATTAGTTTTACTTGAAAATACTTAGTCTTTCACTGTATTTATTGAATTTACTTTATAAAATTCAAGGTAGTGTACTTAATGCCCTCTCCTATTTTTTTCACAATAACCTTGTGAGACGGGTTGGGCTGAGAAAGAATGACTGGCCAAAGTCACCTAGCCAGCTTCAATATCAAAAGGAGGACTAAAACTCATGGTTTCCTAGTTCCTATCGAGCACCATAACCACCTCATCAGATGGTCTCAAACTGGTTTTATGTACTTCAATATTTGTAATTTTAAAAATAAATGTAAACCTCACTATTTGAGCTCTCTTCTTGCTTTATAATATCTAGTTGAACAGAACCATTTTCAGAAGATCATACAATATTTAAAGCCATTAATGTAGTAGTTAAGCCATTAGGTCAGAAACCAGAATAGGTCTAGTCCCACCTTAGATATAAAGCCAACTGGGTGACCTGAGCCAGTCACTTTCTCCCAGCCCTGGGAAGGAGGCAAAGGCAAAGGTTTCTGAAAAACCTTGCCAAGAAAACTGCAGGGATTTCAGTCAGAGATGATTGAAAGGAAGAAAAAAAATACAATTTATATTATGTCCAAATGGCTCTTTGTCTTTTGAAATAGTTACATTTTATGTAATACTGTATTCTACTCTCAGTTCACACTGACTGAAATATAAATTAGCAGGCAGGGTTGAATGTAATGAATTGGTTTAGCAAATTCAGCGGATATTAAAATACACATATCTTATGTATTTGTTTATAGCATGGACTCCTTTAATTTCCATCCATGTTGAAACTTTAAAAGTAAAAAAATTCATTGCAAGAAAAACAAAAAAAGTCAAACACCATAACAGAATAGAACTGAAGAACTACTTCTGATAGCACTGCAAGGCAAAATAAGAGTGCCAGCCTCTTCTGTTCTCATTGGCCTAAGACTAGGCTTTTTCCTTTATTTTGCTGAAGGTTCATGAACGTGTCCATACTGGCGATCGCCCATACCAGTGTGATTTTGCAAGCTGTGGGAAAACTTTTGCTACAGGTAAGGTATTTGCTGTGAAGCCTTTAGAAAAGCAACATTGAAATTGTGTTGCTCTGATGGAATTACTCATGACTGAGAATGAAGATGTACTTTAGAAATCCACAGACCGTTGAGTTATAAATAATGATGGAAAAAAGTATAAATTCAGGCTAAAGCTCTGGCCCTGATTATCTTCAGAGCTACATAGTTACAGTTTTTTATGTTGCTATGCTTTGTGCAATGCTTTGTGATTGTGCTTAGAATACAGGTTTTACCCTGACAGGATATAGTCTAAAGAGCCATATGAGAACCCACACTGGTGAGAAGCCATACAAGTGCCAAGAAGATTTATGCACCAAAGCCTTCAAGACTTCTGGAGATCTCCAGAAACATATTCGAACACATACTGGTATGTCCTGTGGGGGATTATTGTTTTAATTTAGGGATCCCAGAATCTGAAGTTTTGAAAGAACATAAGAAATGAGGCTATAGAAAAATGTGCAAATAAAGTAGCTGTATTATTACTGATGATGTCATTTACTTTAATTCTTTAAATCTTACATTTTTTTCAAAGCATATACTTAGAATGTTCCCTGCCCTCTTGCATCTCAGATGATTCTCAGATTTAAAGTAAATGTGAGGGGTGGGGGGGAAACATCAAATGCTTAAAAGAACTTAGGACAAGGCAGCTAGATAGATAGCAGTAGCATTGGGGCTTGTCTTTAGTAAGTAATTGAAGAGGGAGGATATGGGGGCTAATCTTCCCACCAGTCTGCTTTGGCTGTAGGCTGTGCACCCATGTTCTACATCCATCCATCCATTCATTTTCTACAGTTTCTATGCAGTTTCACTTCCAGAAATTCTGAATGGGTGTGGCTGATCCCAAACAAGGTGGCACTGAGAGTAGAGAATATAAAAACATCTGTGTGATCATGTCAGCAGTTTCTAAATATGGCCCCACTAATCACAGTCAGTGTGTAAAATAAGACACCAATGGGCAAATGTTCTTCAACCTTACTTTCGGTCTTGGTGGTTAGAGTAAATATAATGAAATCAAAGATAATTACCGAACAAAAAGGTATTCATACCACTTATAGTTAACCCTCAACTTATAACCATTATAACCATTAATTTATCAACCAAAGTTACAGAGGCACCGAAAAAGATAATGTATGACCAGTCTTTACACATATAATTGTCATTGCATCCCTGCAGTCACTTGATCAAAATTTGGTTGCTTGGCAACCTGCATGCATTTACGATGGTTTGCAGCATGCTGGGTGATGTGGTCGCCATTTGTGAGGGTCACCTTACTCAGCCATTTTTTACCTCAGCTGGATTCTGGCAAGGAAAGTCATTGGAGGAAGCTGGATTCACTTAACAGCCATGGCAAAAAAGGTCCATAAAATTAAATGTGACTCACTTAAAAAGTACCTTGTTTAGGAACAGAAATTCAGGTCCAAATTGTGGTTTTAAGCCAAGGACTAGCTGTAGTATGATATGCTTGAAAGAGGAAATGAAGTAATCTTTTCATGGCTTTTAGTGATTAACTAAGGATTCTTCTATCTGGTCTCCCCATCAAGGTGAGCGGCCCTTCCGGTGCCCCTTTGAAGGCTGTGGCCGCTCTTTCACCACCTCTAACATACGCAAGGTCCATATACGAACACACACAGGAGAGCGACCCTATATGTGCTCAGAGCCCAACTGTGGGAGGGGTTTCACTAGTGCCACCAACTACAAAAATCACATGAGAATCCATACAGGTAAACTTTAAACTGTCTTGATTTTTGTCTACTTGTGGGTTGTTTTTTTTGGCTGGTTATGCTTTTGAATTGTGTTACATATTGTTTTCTTTGTCATATTGTGAGCCAGTCAAAGTTATTTGTAGTTGGGTCCGGCCAGCCAACATAAATCGCTCCAAAGACACATTGATGGATTCAGCACATAAAGAACAAAGCTGATCTTGTTCATCCTGTGAGATGACCAGAAAAAACAATAGATTGTTAAGTTAATATGGTACAGCAAGTGGAGATGGATCTGACTCTTTTTTTTTTTTGACTGCTTAAAGTAACTATAACTACAATATGTTGAAGTTCACAGGGTGAAACACTGGAAATCCAAACTTTCTCTCCTAAAGTGCTGCTGGCCCTGATTCTTGCTTTGAAATAACAACTTGATAATTTCTACTGCCAGTACCTTTCTTATTGAACACCTTACTGTAACCTTAGTGTGCAAGACAAGGCTCTTTCACTTTTCTATAGATTAAAAAGTCAAAATGTAAAAGCTTAAATAATGTCAACAGTGCAGTAAGAAGATCACAAGGAAATTCAAAGGAGAAAGATCCTGAACAGAGCCTGAAGCAACAATAAAGGCTGAAAGCAAACCCCCAATTCTATACTTACTGTATACAAAGATAAAGAAAACAAGTCTTAGCCCAGCACTGAAAAGTTAAGTCTAAAGTTAACTTAAATTCCTAATTATCTTAGCAGTATTCCTGAAGCAAAGGTCCTCTGCTTTCCCTCCCAGGAGTTCTCCAGCTTTTTGGTGATTTCAAATATTTGTCTGAGGCTGTAAGGAATTATTACTAGTCCCATCCTTTTCCCACTGACTTCTTCTTTTGTTCCTTAAAAGGCAAAATGTTTTCTAAATCTAGCCGGAAAAGGGGTTAGAATACTCTGACTTGTATGTGCCAAACAGCCATCTCTTATATAGTTTGGATAATAAATCTGCAGTCTGGCATGTAGATTACATTCACAATAATCCTGCATGTTTACTTGGAAAGGAATCCCATTTTATTAAACTGGTATTATTCTAGCAATAGCTTCAACCTATAGGCTCTGAGTCTGTGAATAAAAATTTGATTTCTCTGTGAATCCTAATTCTGTTCCAGGGGAGAAGCCATATGCATGCATGGTACCAGGCTGTGGAAAATGCTTCACAGAATATTCTAGTCTCTACAAACACCATGTAGTTCACACACATTGCAAACCATACACTTGCAACACCTGTGGCAAAACCTATCGGCAAACTTCTACTTTGGCAATGCATAAACGTACTGTGCACGGGGAGTTGGATGACAGTGAGCAAGCTCTCTATGAACATCAGATGGAAGGTGAGTAAATAGACAAGGTAGCCTTGCAATTCTTGTCATTCTCCAGTTTGCTGGCATACAGCTTTATTTTCACTTTGTGTTCAATTGTATCTGCCTACAAAGCCATTTGAATGTTCTCTCTTAGTTGGATTCTTCCACCAATTCTTCTTTCTTTGTTCTCTCAGATACCATAGTGAATAACAGCAGGCCTCCACTGAAACGTCAATGTATTGTTTCTATGAAGATGAAAGATGAAGTGCAGGAAGATTCCATGTCATCGGCAGCAGCTCTGGTTTCTGAGGATGGTGTAGAGCAAGTATGAAAGACAACGGGAGGAGATATTCTTGGGCTAGCGGTATCCAAGGCAGATCAGTGGAAACAATTGCAATAGAGGATTATTCTTCCGGAATTTTCCAATTCTAAGTATTTCACCACCTTTTCTGCTTATAACTCGCACATAACTTTTTCATAATCTTAGCTTTAGTAGCAGGCATGTTAAGGATTTTGTGGCATCTTAAAGGAAAAACTGAGATGAAACAATTGGATTGCAGTTTTTAGATTGCAGGATTAGAGGCTTGTTAAAACATTTTGTCTTACCATGAACTAAAGCTATATTCTGGTACAAATACTATGGCTGTGGTTATCACTGTTGGAACTGGGATACATCTTATATCTTGAAAATACGTTGCTTGGATATAGTATAGAAAGAAATCTTTTAAATATAGCTGCTATACCTGTGTGATGTTTTTCAGGTCAGAATAGTAACAGAATAGTATCTCAAGATTCATTCAAAGCCTGTCTATGATTAGCCCTTAGTGCTAGCAACAACTAATGGTACTCATGTGGCTGTTCAGGTAGACACATACTATTTGGAGTTCCTATCTCAATCATGGACAGTATAAAAAAACCTAAATGTAAAATCCTTAAGCAATATAACCATAAAATGGTTAACAACTATAACTTTTAATAATGTGTTGAGAATAATATAATACCTTCATAATTAAGTCACAAATTGGCTTAATGTTAGCTGCCATCTAAAATATGGGTATATCATGATTCCCCTAAATTTTCTATTAGGTAACAGCATTTTTACATTTCCAGGCTCAATTAAGTTCATAAGTCGAGGAATAACTGCATATTAATTTGATATTGCTTTTAATATGAGGCTGAACAAGTCCTGACTTAATTTAAAAACATCTCAGCAGGAGGAGACATTCCATCAATTGTATCTCTTTAGTATTTCAAGGATAAAATCTTTGTGCAAGAGGTTCCTCTCAGATCTTTTCAACACATGTAAAGATTAAATGTTTAATTTGGCTTGATAAAAGCAAACTGATTGTTCATTTAACTTAATCTATTTGAATAGAAAGGTATAATTATAATTAATTATTTGATCATTAGTACAACGATTTTGCTTCGGCTGCAAAATATTCCTGCGCAGAAATATTCTGTTATCCTCGCTTGGTGACAAGTGAATCCACTTAATAACCCTTTGAAACAAACAGTATAGCGACAGATCTAGGTGGCAGATTTTTGGAGCTAGCAACATACTCCAAAAGCTGTTAAAACTATTGCTTGAGAGTTCAAATATTTACAGATATTAGTTACAGTTCTAAGAACATAATATTTAAGCCACAATATTATTGCAAATGAGGCTTTAGTTTTTAAAGAGGCATTATCTGATTTCAAACAGGACTGCAGTATTAGGAAGACAGCTTGGGATATTTAGAGGAGGTCTCAGGACTTGCATCTGTAAATGGGTTAGATTGCTGACATTTACCTGAATTCAGATTTTTAGTGGGACATGAGCCAGTGGTGCAATGCATCTGCTGAAAACATAAATGGCATTTTTGGGATGGATTATCAGGAACACAGATTTCAAATCCTAAAAAAGTATTATATCCCTCTGCTCTGCATTTGGAATTATGCATCTAGTTCTTGGCACAAGACATTGACCCACTGGTTTAAGTTCAGAGTAGGACTACAAGATAACAAGGGAATTGGAATCCAAGTTCAGTGATGATAGTTTAAGGAATTGAGAATCTTTAACATGCAGAAGTCAAGACTTATGGGACAAGTTGATAGCAGTCTTCAGATATGTATACTTTGGCTTAGGAGGGCAGAACAACAAACAATAGATTAAAGCTTCAGAGAAGTAGATTCAGGTTAATATTATGAAGAATTATGAAGATAAGACAATAAACCAGTGGAGTAAATGCTAAGGGCATAAAGTTGGACTATAAGACCACGGGTCCCTTCAAAATCAGGATTCTATAAAATCTCCATATAGTAAAGTTCACTGGATTGGATTTACCAATGTTCTAAACATGCTTACCAACTGGTAAATGATGATTTGCATATAGGCATGCAAAATATTATTAAAACTGAATGATACATCTCTATATTATGTTCCCTTTTATAGTATTTTCCCACTCTGCACTTTTTATATTTCCACATAATTCAGTATGTTCTTTTCTTTGCTTCCTCCTTGCCTTACTTCTACTTCTGCATATAAGTGTTCCAATAATAACCACTAATAAACAGCAGCTCTTAAACAATTTATGTAAAGCAAAGCCAGTAACTGTTAACTTGGCACTCAGTGTTTTTGCTTTAAAATAAATTTAGCACATTTGGTTCTTTTTTTTTGTCATATTCCTTTTTATCAAAACCAAGTTGCTTCCACATCCCTACTTGAACTTAAAGCTAATTCACACACAGACTAACACTAGGACAGGGTAGAAGCCTACAGCTAAATTTATCTTTTTGAAGAAAATGCCAGCTCATTTGGAAAAGGCAAATGATTCTTATTGCATTGCAGGACTGATGAAAAAAGGAGTCATTCACCACTTGCATCCTTCCTTTAAGATAGTTATTCTTTTAAAATAAAATAAATTGTAGCTACTATATTAGGCATTGTTATGTGAAGGGGTTATTTGCTTCTGGTGTGTTTTGCCTCTTACCTTATGTATTATTTAAATTCTTTGAGCAGATATACTTTACAAGAACCCATTTGAGCAACACTTTGAATGGTCTCATGCATTTATCTCTTCAACATATACAATTTTATGAAATAGAATATATTTGAATATATAGATCTGAAAGTCATTTTTTGCCTCACCTGTTCATCATCTGATCTCCTCAACCAAGCAACTCCCAGATGCAGTTTTTGACTACTAAAAAGTGCAAAAAGATTGTTGAAAGCATTATTGGCCCATATTTCATACTTTTCTGAGAGTAGTACAAAAGATTTGTACAGATTACTTTGTAAATTGCAAGAGTTTTCAAAGCAAAAGTTACGGAATCAAATATTAGAAATCATTTTTCTTCCTTGACTCATTCCTGCTTGTATCCTCCTTCTTTATCACTCCTCCAACTGCAGGTTCAAACCAATTTGAATGTTTGAAAATCATGTATTACCATTTTCTTTTCTAGTTGGAAATGCAACAGAGCCTGGAAAATACAATCAACATGACAACTACCGAAGTTCACCAAGAAGGTGAAACTCTAAAAACAGCTACATTGAAAAATGGATGTTGAGGCTTTATTTTGAACACTTGACAGGAGTGAAGAGCTATGTAGAAACAAGTCATTGGACAGAACAGATTCTACAAGGGCCCGAAGCTCAGGAGTCAGATGACTGGGAACTAAATGCCCATTGGAGAGAAGTTTAAGAATTGTTCACTGCTAGTCAGTAGATATTGATAACTGATAAGAACAGATGATGAAGTAACATTTTTGCTTGACATTTTTTAAACAAATGGACCTGTAATAAGCTTCAAGAAATCAACTCATCTGAGATAGGATTTGTCTTATCATTTGGAACTTTTTCATTTCTGGTACATATTAATGGAATGACCACTTCTGGATTAGAAAACATTTAAAGTTGGACTTTTATTGGATTTCAGCAACAACTTTTATCATTTCAGAATTTTATAGCTTATGTGTTTAGTGTTGAATGTCCAGAAAAGGAACACAGCTACTCCATATCCTAGAGCAGTGTTTCTCAACTCAGCAAGTTTAAGATGGGTGGACCTCAGCTTTCAAAATTCTAGGAGTTGCAGTCTACACATCTTAAAGTTGCCAAGGTTGAGAAACACTGTCCTAGAGAAGTAGTAATATGAAAGTAAGGAAGTGTCCTCTAGATAGGATTATAAGTGGAAGTTCTAAGGTGTATAACAATGGGAACAAGCAATAGCATTATGGAAGCTTTCCTCCTCCCCGCTCCCAAATATACCAGAGATACCTCTAAATCTTAGCAAGAGTCTAAATAGACAGGTAAAAATCTGTACTGAACTTAGGGGGTATATTAAATTGGTTCTGGGTAATGTTTTATTTTCTTTCACTCTGAAGAGCTAATAGAAGATTTGGATATGTATTTAATAAAAAGTTGAAATTGTTTTTCTATTTTCAATACCAGTAACAGCTTTAGCTTTACCATTCTGTTCCTCTTTTAGTCCTATATATTTAGTTCATTTGGAAAATTAAGTATATATTCTCCTTTTCCCCAGGGATTCTAACAAGATCAGGAGGGTATTTTAAACTTGTTCCTACCACTAGTAATTAATATTAAAAAAACATGTTTTGTTGCTAATTAATAGCCATGAAGCAGTAATTTTTTTAAATCAAAAATTGTAGTACTGGTAGAGAAAAGAGACTTTTCAGTATACATCCAATCCTAATGAAAATGGTCATTTCCCAATGGTAATAAGTGTTGTTTGATTGTCTATAAAAGTAGTGAGGTTTTGTGGGCCACACAGAATCAGACTACAGATTGCCCACATGTCCCAGACAGGATATGGTATTTTACCATCAAAATGCATGTTATATAATCGGAAAGAATAAAACAGTTGTATTTGGTAAGCTTGCAGGACACAGAAGATTGTTTTAAAAGCTGCTACATTTGCAACTGATGATTTTTTTGTATTACTGTCTGCTGTAACTCATGAAATAATATTGTATTGCTATGTATATGGACAATATCTCCAGTTGTTTGGTTACACGCTTTGACATGTACAATGCTATTTGCTTTTTGGTAGGACCTCATCTACTTTAGGCTTGTATCCTTGGAAATATTCCATTATACAATTGTGAAACTTTACTCAGCCATTGACCGTTTATTTTGTGTTTGTACTTGATCCCAGCACTTAATTCCAAAACAATAATGTTACAATATGTGATTAAACTGCAACACTGAAATAGAAATTGGCTTAAGAAAAGTGAGTGTTCCTCTTTGTGCTCTGATTCTGACAAATCAGAATTCTTAATCCCTTTGAGAATGAGGTCAAAGAATAAAGAGAATTGATGAAGCTACTGCCAAATCTCAAATCTTACTTTTCTCCTTTTCATTCTTTATCTTGGGTAGTAGTCATAACTATCTTCACAATTTTTGAAGAAGAAAAAAATGTAGGTCCAAAATGCTAACATTTTTCATTGTCTCCTGTACTTCTCACAATACCTTTCTTCTTTCCCTTTAAAGGAAAAGTGGAATAGGCACTGTTGCTAGGATTTTTAACACCAATTCGATTTTTAGGAATTCCCAGATAACCATCCTACAATACAGCCAGTAAATTTGGAAACTGGCCCTTGGCTACTGTAGGGTTAAGAATGGGGACCTTTCCTAGGTGAAATGATACAAAGCAACCAGTGAGTCAGGGACAAATTTGCCAGCAACAGGCAGTTGATAAGTGCTCAGCAGCAGACAAATTAGTTGGGTTTTTTTTTCTAATGTGAAAATACTGTATAAAGATGATCTTTCTATATTTAATTGAGCAGTATACCTGTTAAAAACAAAGGCATGGAACTAATTAAAATGGTTAGAATATTCAGTTGTGGATTATTTGGTAGATGAAAACCTTGTAGGCAAAATAATATGGTGGCATCAAGTAATTTTTTTAATCTCAAAAATTCACTTTTATTTCTAGACCTGAAAATGAAAAGGTACTTGCAGGCTAAACTAGTAGTTAATTCTAGAAGAGTCTTAAAATTTCAATAGCTTTCTTTGAGATTAAAGGCACAGAAAATGTTGCAGTCATATTCAAAGCTAAGCCATAGCCTAAATCCACTGAATTCTTCGGGTTGCTTTGCTCTGTCCATCTCTGCCTAGGGTCGGGGCTTTGTGACTGCACCTTAAATAATAGTTTGCTGAAGTCCAATACAATGGTATTTCCTAAGCATGGATCGAAATGGGATATAAAGTTTTAACTGGAATGAAATTTCTACATAGCATTTAGAATTGCAAATCAAATTGGAATTTTTGAAAGGTATATAATTTAGTTCATGTCTGATTTTTTTTAAATGAAAAAAAATTATACAGCCTGGACAGAAAAGCTGTATTTTATCCAACATGGTATCTATGCAGAGTACAGTGCTAATCTCTGAATAGAAATATGAAGAAATTCAATGGAGGTTACTCATATTTCCAAAAGTCCTGGATCACACTATACCTTGAGTTGAATTTTTAAGAAAAGAGAATTTACCCCATTCATTTGAAATCAATGATTTCATATATTTACAAATTCTGATGTGATTAGAACAGATTGGACTTATTTTTTCTTACTATTCTGATTGTATTATGATTAAAATATTCATGTTATTTTCTTCTATAATAACACTATTAAGTATGAAAATATTATTACAAGCATAAGTGATAGATGTATTAAAACATGATTTAAGGAAAAATAGGCCATTGCTAATAAACATTCAGAAAATACTTGTAATTTTAGAAAAATAGACTTACCTTAATAATGTAATTGAGACATTATCTCAATTACACCTCAATCTCAGCCTGACAAATCATGTTTTACTGCAGTTACTGATTCAAATAAAAACATATTGTAAATATATGGGGGAACCCCTTTAAAAGAATTTGTAAACTCTACTATTTAAATAGTTGAGCATACTAAGAATGTATGTGTTCAACAGGGTTTACTCCCAATGATTAAGCAGGGTCTATGACAATTCACCACGGCCAACTCATCATGGTTAACACCATTGTCAACTTGCCATAATCAACTTGCTGCAGGACAACTCGCTGCGGGGGACAAGAGTTACACTAATATAAATGATGGAATAGAATCATTAAAGAAAGGATGCAAAAGGAGAGACAGAATGAAATGTGAATGACAAAAATTAAAATATTTTTATTTATTTTAAATAATGAAATAGAATTGTTACACTGTCCCTTTGAAATCAGTATAACCCTTGTCCCACAGCAAATTGTCCTGCAGTGAGTTGGCCATGGTGAGTTGGCTGTGACAAGTTGCCCCAGTCCCAATTAAGTATGTAATGCAAAGTTTTATATTACAGCCCAAGGCCAATAAGCCTCCTTTTAGAGTAATCATACAAGTAGTCCTCAACTTATGACCACAACTGAACCCAAATTTTCTGTTGCTAAGCAAGTTAGATAAGTGAATTTTGCCCCCATTTTAAGACCTTTTTTGCCAGAGTTAAGCCAATCACTGCAGTTGTTAGTAACATAGTTGTTAAGTGAATCTGCCTACTCCATTTAACTTTGCTTGTCAGAAGATCACAAAAGGTGGCCACGTGACCCTGGGACACTGCAGCTATCGTAAATATATCTCAGTCGCCAAATGTCTGGATTTTGATCACATAACCATGGAGGTGCTGCAATGTTGTAAGTGTGAAAAATGGTCATAAATCACTTTTTTCCTTGCTGTTGTAACTTTGTAAGGGTCATTGAAATGGTTGTAAGTCAAGAACTACCTGTGAGCTGGTACCATAAACAGCATCTTAGTGTGATCTTGATACTTGTAGCAAACAAGATTAAAATATTGTTTTTAAATTGCATTTTCATTGCCTACATAGTTTTGCCTACATGCATTTTTCACAGAAAGACAACTGCAATCTACTGCTAAACTTCAAATGTAAGACAACTGAATAACAGGAAAGAGATTTCTCCCCAAAGTTATGACTATAGCTACTAATGTAATACTTCATTTCTATCTTCAAAAATTTATTTCTGTCCTTTTCTATCCTCCTTCCTGCTGTTGCTCAAAGACTGACCCTCTGTAGAGCTGGCTTAGTCCACCTAGGCTGTCCCCCCCATCCCTCCCCAACTATTTCCTCTACAGTGGTGGTTGTTACCATCCCTCGTCCCATTTTCAGTATCTTTTTGGGACTGCCTGTTTCTCAGTTTTACTTGGATGTTGCTGTTTTGGTTTTATAAGCAATAGTAGGCAAAAGATTTCTTCAGATGCACGTTCCGTTAAACTCTGCCCAATTTTAGTTCCAAGCTTAGATTAATTCAACAAATATTGTGGTGGTGCAGTGGTTAGAATGCAGTACTGCAAGCTACTTCTGCTGATTGTCAGCTGACAGCAGTTCGATTCTGACCGGCTCAAGGTTGACTCAACTTTCCATCCTTCTGAGGTCTGTAAAATGAGCACCCAGATTGTTGGGGGCAATATACTGACTCTAAACAACTTATGGCTGTAAAGCATTGTGAAGCAGTATATAAGTCTAAGTGCTATTGCTATATTAAAATTAGTGAGTTTAAATCTAAAGTAAGCACTCACACAACCAGGACAGGAGGGATGCTAGAATCTTGCTCACATTGGATACTTCCTTGGGGTTTAACAAGCTGAGAAGGGGCTTTTTTTTTCTTCCTCTTTGTATTTCTTACCTCTCCAGATGACTCAGATTTCGAATAACTTCGTTGTCACTTTAAATGTACACTAATCAGCATACATTAAAATGAAATTTCATTGCATATACAGCTCTCAAAGAGTCCCCGCCTCCAATATATAATACATAAACATGACAGCACACACACAAAATTATGCATATACTCACATACCCACATATGACACAGAGAAACCATACAGTCTAGTTCTAATGTATCCATGTATATGGCGACAAAAACGAATCTTGCGTGTTTACCGGACGGATGGCATAGGATGACCGAAAAACAAGCCAAACGTACTGGGGAGAAGGAGGCCAGGGAGGCGGCTTGAACGACCAGGTGGAGGCGCTACAGCTCCAGAGCTCGCCCCGTCGGCTGCCGCGAACAGTTTGAGCGCCTCGCCAGGAGTTTCGCGACCGCTGGAGGGAGGTTCCTCTCCGCTGAACGAGCAGAGTCTGTGCCTGGTGGTGTCCTGCCCTGGAGGCATCATGGAGCTGCGGACTGAGCTTTTAAAATCGATCTGGTACGCCTTCACGGCTTTAGACGCCGAGAAAAGCGGCAAAGTCTCCAAATCTCAGCTGAAAGTGAGTAAAAGGACCAAAAAAAAAAAAAAAAGTCAGCAAATCCGAAAGAGCCTCTGAGGCGCGGGCGGGAAGGGCGTTGAGTCCTGCCTGCCAAGGCGAGGAAGGCGGCGTGCTTGGCAAGAAGAACTCGCGGCCAGCTTTGCTTCTGCTAGCTTTGCTCTGGGGCGCGCA